TTTACATAACCACAATGAGTAACCTCATCATGGTTGGCGGCTGCATTTCCGATGGAGGCGGAAATGTTGTAGGCCCGTGTGCTCAGATTTGGGTGCACGTTAAAGAACCCCAGGTGGTCTAAATTTCCGGAGCCCTCCACTACGGCGTCTCTCATAATCATATAGTGGTTTTGGGACGTTAAACCCCACATATCAATCAATCAACCTCATCATGGTTATGTAAAGACGGTAGTCACAGCCACTGGTATAACCAGGGGGTGGCGTTTGGCATTTTCATATCACCGAAACTGTTCAGTTATCGCGTGTGTAGTACATAAATACGCACGCATACAAACACACGCTCGAATCTACAGAAAGGGCGGCTAAACCTCCCTTCCCCTTATCAAAAAAGATTCCTGGCTACGCCCTCGGTCACAGCGGCCTCCCTTGTGCAGTATCCTTATATTTCTAACGATCTTGCACAATGGCCGTGGTAGCCATGATGGTCACTGGGCTGCGCGTTTTTTTTTAACATCACTTGCTCGCTTACATGCCAACAGCCTTATCAGTTGTAAAACACACACACACACACACACACGCGCTGACGGTACCCGTGTGCTCAGATTTGGGTGCACGCTAAAGAACCCCAGGTGGTCTGGGGTTCTTTTCTGGAGTCCTCCACTATGGCGTCTCGCGTGATCATATGGTGGTTTTGGGACGTTAAACTCCACAAATCAATCAATCAATCAATCAATCAATCAATCAATCAATCACCCGGACGGTACAACGCATATTTGCAAGCACGCTGTTATAGGAACGAATTGTCGGAAAGAGAAAATTGACAAAGTCACGCTATCTGGTACGCCGGTGACATACATTCATGTCAGCCTGGCTGCGCCTTTCCGAAACTACGTCTTTCAATATTTTTTTGTTTCCAGTGCAGGAGGCACCAAGGTTCTCGTAAGTGTATCGGGACATCGGTGTCGGCAGTATTTTCTCTGGGCAGCTGCGGGCTTGCGCTCGTGTGGCTTGCGCACGGAACAAGTGTTGATGGGGAAGCTAAGCGCCATTGTTTCACCCGGTGCTCAACGCCCATGTGCCATATACCATTCTACTCGGTACATGCTACGACGGGACAGGCATATGTGCGAAATGTCGAAGTTCACGTAAGCGTAACTTTGCTCGTTATATCTTATGCGCCGTTAAATATTTTATAGTTCTATGGCTTCCTTATTTGAGTATATAAGAGCAGGAGAACCGAGTAGTCAAGATGGATCACTCATCTTGCCTTGATGATTACCCGTTTTCTATTCCATGCAAGGTCGCACCATTCCAAAGGGAACCGTAAACAGGCCTCTCCACATGTGTTTTTTTTTTTCGGGTGCTTCGAATTTCACTGCTTCGAAGTCTTTTAAACAAGCAGTAAAAATAGGAGACCTCATTCTGGTACCCAAATATTTTATATTTTGCTGTAAAAGCTGGTTCATTCGATGATCCTTTTTTTTTAGAAAACTCACAATTCGGACGCCTTCTTTGGTCCAGGCGTGTATATGTATCGCTTGATAGCGTCAAACCCTCGAATTTTCATGGTGAGAAAAGTATCGTCACTTGTGCATGGTGATGTCGGGGGTGGGGGCCGTGCGTAATAAGAGAAGGGTTGAACACACGTTTAGGCTTAAGCGACGGAAGTCTTCAGCCGTGGTCACATTGCGAACAAAGTCATGAATGAAGATAATTGCAGCTATAATATCGCAGCTATGCAAAGTAGGTACTGCATTTGGCTATGCGTCAAGGAAATAGAAAATGAATTTATATAACCGACTTTTGTTAACTGCTTTTCTTGATATTTTCGCTACTTTGCATTTGGTTAATTAGGACATTTTTTTTCCTCTCTCATGAAATCTGAAATAATGAGCTTGCTGGTTATGGTGACCAGCCAAGCTGCCGTATTCGATGGGCAGTAGCTGAAAAGAACTACCTATAGCGCGCATCACATTACAACAGTGATGATGTGTCGACATTGATTATAATAGAGATGATGTGCGTAAGCACCTTGACCCGATACGAAGGCGTTGAAAATTGCGCGACAAAGCACTACACATTTCAAATGATTAGTATAGTCAATATTACGCTTACGGCCCCGCCGCGGTGGTCTAGTAGCTAAGGTACTCGGCTGCTGATCCGCAGGTTGCAGAATCGAATCCCGGCTGCGGCGGCTGCATTTCCGATGGAGGCGGAAATGTTGTAGGCCCGTGTGCTCAGATTTGGGTGCACGCCAAAGAACCCCAGGTGGTCAAAATTTCCAAAGCCCTCCAGTACGGCGTCTCTCATAATCATATGGTGGTTTTGGGACGTTCAACCCCACATATCAATCAATCAATCAATCAATCAATCAATCAATCAATCAATCAATCAATCAATCAATCAATATTACGCTCACGTAATCAAACTGGGTTCAAGGAAGCATTTTTCAAGCTGTGTTCAGATGTCATACTGTTAGTGCCGCGTCTCTCATAATCATATGGTTGTTTTGGCACGTTAAACCCCACATATCAATCACTGTTAGTGCCGATCCGCGAAAGTTATTGCGCGCACATATTGAAATTCAGCCGTTAACGATGCCTCAGCCACAATAAAAGAGAGCGGCACAAGCTTTGACACGGTACACTGAAAAAAAAAAAAGATTGGCCAGATAGCATGCGCAATCATATCGGTTTGTTGAAACACAGCGTGCTCGTTGCATTGGTTGTGTATACACCCGGAACGTCGAAGTTCCGTGCGTAGCCAGGAAGCTCGGTGAACTAATCGTGAGCTGTGGCCTCGTACGATGGGACTATCGACACGTGAAAACAATCACCAATTATGAAAAAAAAGAAAAAGAATCCAGGAAATAGTGAGCGATAACCGTACACACATGCAGTAAGCGTTCCCCCGAATTACGAGTTTTGCTGGTGGAATCTCTGCGACTAAAACAAGGAAACAAAAATTGCGTTGATCTCAGACGAACGACATCGCACGCTTCGAGTGCAGCTCTAGCAGGTGATTCCGTGGAGGACACAACTACGACAGCAGGTAAGCATTGCGATCATTTTATTTTATTGTGCTAACCTCCCTGTCCTTCCTCATTTATTCCTCCTTATTTTATTGTACATAATTTTGGGTGACTAACTTTTAAGCGCGGGTGAACTGCGGTCTCTCTGTAGGGTTCTAGTACGCAGTTTTCACTGTAACCAGATTTCGGAAACACCCCGCTATTGAAGGTTACGATACTAGACTGCCGACCCGAAGGTCACGCCATCAAACCCTGGCTGTGGCGACCACATGTCGATGGTCGTAAAATGCTGGAAGTCCGTGTTTTAGGTGTCCACTAAAGTACGCCACACTTAACGAGCTTATCCATGGTGCGAAAAAAAAAAAACACGAAAGAAGGTTTATGGCGCTTGTTCTTCTTTTGTGTTTTTTTTTCGCGCCATTAGCTCGTTAAGAATGAACCAACTCGCCCAACAAGTCACTCTGCTGAAGTACACTACGCGTTCAAAATTTAAGAAGCCCTCTACCGCTGCCGTGTGTCATACTCGTGGTTTTGGGATGTGAAAATCCCGCTGCAGTTATTTTATGTGCATTAGAATATCTTTGTGAACTTTTTTATTGAATAATTAGGCATTTTCAAGTAATTATCTTATGAATTAGCGAAGCTGGACGGAAAATTTTATTGAGAAAGTTTAAAATTTGTAAAACGTCCGATTTGACTTTTTCCAACCTCTTACCTACCAAGCATTAGCGCTTATTATGCTTACAACAATGCCTACGAAATACAAAAAAAATATAAAGAAACATTTGCCATGTCCACTTGCGTACCTATCAGTGCCGTGATTGCATTTTTCATAGTGTCACGCGAATGACTGATATTTTCTATGTGGCTGTTCATAACAGCGAATAAGCCGACGCAGCTGTTATCGACGCACCTGTTGCTGCTGACAAAACCAGCGTCGTCACACAGCCAATACATCATCGCTCCCTTGTCGAGACAGCACTGCCCGACCAAATGGTTCGGTCGTTTTTTCGCGGAACGTTAGGGAGCATTGCAAAATGGTGCACAAGCGGGTATTTCACGGGGCATTTTGTGTGTGTGTGTGCTTCGAGGGTGACCCCTGTAGTAAGCAGAAAAACAATGACAGCAGAGTCATTCAGCTCTGCTAATACTTATGATAGAGAAATTTAGAAAGTGACTCGTCGGTGGTTTCTTCAACTTTATCAATGGAATTTTAACTGACCTTTGTAGCTGTAAAGTTAATTACGCATGTCTAATTAAGTAAAAATAAGGGAACGAAAAATAGCGTGGCATATATATTTCCGGTCACATTTGGTCGCGTAGTCATGGAGTGCGTCGACACATCTTTGATCTATGAATAGATATAGTTGAGGCAACCTGTATACATATTCAAAAATTTTTCAGTTCGATGGGGGGATGGTTTCCCCGTCCACTCTGGCAACGCCATTGTTGACAAGGCTGGCATAGCCCCTTGCACGATGTTCCGCCTTACAGTTGCAGCACCAATAAACACCATAGTTTCGAATAACGGTACTAATTTATCAAGGAAAAAGCCTAATTTAAGGGCCATTTTCTGGGCTAGACACCTTATATACCCTATTATGTGCATGGAGGAATGATCAGCGCTGTAGCCCAGTGGTAGATCATTGAACGCGGTATTCAAAAGTCGCAGGTTCGCTCCCTGACGGTGGCAACTTATCGTTTCGTAAACTTTTCTTTCTTCGCGTTTACATTACAATTACTTATAAAGGACAACTATACTTTTCTCGGCATAATAGCTTATTCTAATGAGTAATTTCTCAGAAAGATATGTCAATGAGGGCTCCGATGTCTCTGTACACACGAGCTCCAAAGCCGTGGAATCCCCGACGCGCTTAGCCATATTTATGCAAAGCCTAGTTTTGGGATTGTTTGCGTTTGGAGGTTCACGGAAAGCATAACTTTCCTAAAATATTGACTATTTTTTCAGCTGCGATTTCAAACGTCCGAATCGCCGAATTCGAAGACGGTGACAGCGACGTGGACTTGGAGATCCACATTATCTACGGCATTGTAGGAATCGCTCTGGGTGCCTTCGTCGATTCTGTTTGTGGTATACGTTCTTAACCGTCTCCTCAAAAAGATGGTACGTTGAACCAGTACTATAATAACCACCACTTTATTCTCATTTCGCTACGTAGCATACAATCTTATTGGTATTTATACCACAAACATTACAGCGTTTAGTCGAATTAATGCATTCAGTGCACTTATATTGTGGACGTCTTAAATAGCGAGTATAATTAGCATGCCCCTAATTAGCTCAAAACTTCAAGGAAGATAGAGTAGTTTCTTACCATCACTACTTTTCTTACAGGGCGTTATTTCTTCATCGCTCCTTATTTCTTCGTAAAACTCGTGGTCATCGTGCACCCTGAACGTTAACCCCGTAAGGGCGTCACGTTTATGGGCTACGCACTGTTATATCTGCTTGCAATGTCGAAGGACGCACAAGTCGAATGAAAAGTAAGCACATCGCTCATGATAGTCATGCGAGACAAGGCAGAGTGGGTGCACGAACGCGTGGCAAAGCGTAGTAAGAGACAATTTACAACTGATACCTATCGGTTATGAACCAATCCCGAGCTTAGTCCATGATGACGTCACGTGAATCAGTTGACGGTGTCATTTGCACCGAAAAGACGAGAAGTACTATAGGAGAAAACAACGTGCTTGATTTTTTTTTAGATTTCTTAGGGTTCATTCAAGGAAAAAAGAAAAGATTAAGATAATACAATGCCCTTTCGTTTCTTTACGCAGGTTCCAAGTCGTTCCAGCTGAGAACGATAGGGTGAGCATAGACTCGTGTTTTATTGTCTGCAATGAAATTCCAGACACGCACTCACGAGAAAAAGCCGGAACGAGCTTCGCGCGAGACGATGTCCTAGTCTCAACATCCCCTTTGCAGAGGACCAGCGCGCGCATGGATGAACCGGTGGCCACCGAGGCCAGCTTGTGAAGCTTCAAGGACAACATCGTCCACTATAGTCCCTGTGCTTACCCTCATGCCAGAGAATGCCATTGACAGGACTACAGTGACTGCCGACGTGGAGGAAGCTGACGGGGCTGTGTGAGCCTGTACAGGAAGGTTGTTTATTGGACGCGTTCGCTTGTTGTGGTAGTCAGACGTGCTGACACGGACCTGGATGCTCAGTGATGTGCACGAACCGTAGTGTTTCGCGGCCCACTACTTCGCCTGAGCAGTGCCTCGTGGATTAAACTTCAGAAGTATGGAGCATTACCTTCTCGAAGGCGGATGCACACGAACCTGAACCAGTGAGCACGCACCTAAAACAAATTTCATGAGCCGGACGGCCAGGGGCTATTTCTTTAGACGCGAAAGTGATTAACTGTCGCGCTTCGGTCGTCAATTTGGGGACTCTCTGGACTTCTTAAAGGGGCCCTGTAGCATATTTTTTCAAGTAACCAACCGATGAACTTATTGCAGGAGTGTGCCCGACTAATAGACCACCACGAAAATTCGTAGAATCAATCGAGTACGAGTGGTGTTAGAGATTTGTCGATCGCTGTAATTGCTTCCTGACTGCTTTCGTCTCGGCGAGCGTGCCGGAAGCTATTCATGGAGGATTTGCATAAAAAATATGGTTTGAGCACGTTTTTTCTTTGAATGCGCGGCTTAGTTCAGCGTGATCGCACGCGCGGGCTCGTGGCGGTCTCTTTCGGCATCCTCGATAACTATTGAGCTCACGGTGCTCAAATCATCCAATGGCCATTACTTTGGGCATAAGGCATCTTTATTTGGATATAATGGATTACTTATAGAAACAGGAGGAAAGGATTTTTCGCTGACTTCGAGCATTAATTGTACGTTGATGGCCGCGCACCGTGCTATATTGTTGGGCGCGCGTGTTCTCTTTAGCGTGGACCACTGACGGCCAGCGTTTTCTGGCCACGCCGAATGAATTTCGCCGGACCCTTTCAGATTATATTCGAATTAGATGCTTGCGACGTTAGCAGAGAAGCTGGTTCTGAAACCTTCCTTCTTCTTTCCTCCTCCACTCCTCGAAACTGCGGCCGCTGCGAGCGCTCCCTGCAGTGGTTGCTCCAAACCTCTCTGCTTCAAAGATCAAAGCAAAGCTGTCTGTGTTGCCGGATGCAGCGTCGGCTGCGGATGCCGTGCAAATGGCTGTGGGGATGTCACTTACGATACTACTCGAAGTTAGTGTCGTCTCCAAGCGCTTCTTGCGCATGAGGGCTTGAAGAGGAGTGCAGTAGGCTGCGGAGTGCGCTTGACGTCTAGCGCAGGCTGCGACACTGTGAACATGTCAACTGAACAACGAGGATTATCTCGCACCAGCATAAAATCAAGCGGCACCACAGGGGCCTCTTCTAGAGAAGGTGTTGGTCTCAGAAAGCCCTCATGGTTAGCTTCAAACTCCTTTCGCCAAGGGAACCTGTCAGTAATGAGCTATAAAAGGCGCCATTGTATATACAAGACTTTTGGTGGAGTAAGGGGCCCAAGATGATATTGAAACCGTTATCATAGACTTCGGTGCTGTTTGGTTCGGTTACGGAATCTCCAGTAAGCAGCAGTGTGCGCGATGAGGCTCTCAAGCATTGCTATAATTGGAGGAAACGGCTGTGAGTCATGGGGCACTCTGGTAGGCATCGCTGCGATATGTCTGATATGTAATTAGGACGAGTGTGCTCAGGGTTACCCATAAAAGAGGGTAGAGTAAAGGTATCATAGCTGAACGCACCCCACCCTCTATCTGCTGGTCGAGTTCGAACAACGTGCTTCACCAGTGAATGAAAACATCAAAATAAAACGCTCACGTGCTATTCGCAATGGCCTGCGTTTGATTGGTGGCTTTGAGGGAATATAGATGGGGAGTAAACAGTCTAGAATTCGGCATGAGAGATCTTTGTCCTGCCATTATCGTGATAACCTTCATTTCTCTAACTTCATTCACACTTCAAACACTGATCGGACAAGTTATTTTTTTTGTGCTTTCGTTTACACATGCCACTTTCATTATTGTTATATTTTCATTAGCAAGAAATTATATCACTCGTCTCGGGGTTTATCCCTTTAGAGCTTTGATCAACATGGAATCGCAATCATTATCATCAATTCGTAAGTACGGAACTCTCTGAGGCGAATATAGTGTGTGAAGCATCCCTAATCATTAGCTACTCAACCTCTATGAGAGTAGCCTTAAGAGCCGGAGATGACTTCCATTCTCAGCCAGTATATTTAATACGCACAGAATTTTCCTTTAAGAACTAAAAGTAATCGATTGAAAAAAATTCTGCGACCAAGCGGATTGCTTAAGTGAAAGGGTTAATCCGACAGAACAATATCAAACATTCATATCCGTCAAAAACATCATACATGCGAGCCAAACAAAAAAAAAGCGCGAGTATCGTATGCTAAAGATGTACTCTAATAAGGGTTGCCCATAAAATGTTGTCATGTTCCACTACAATGAACGCGTTTGTAGCATACGTTGTCGCAGTTCGGCATCATAATGATACTGCCTGCAAAGGCCAGCTATCATGAACCCGGCTGCTCTTACGAGGAAACGTCCATCAAGAACATCTTGAAGACAGATTTCACCAATCCATGCAGTCACAAAGCTTGGAGGGCCACCGAATACAGCGACTGAAGGCTTTAATATATAATGTGATGGCATTAGGGAAGTTCATCGTGCCTATGCAAACTCATCTGCCAACGATTATACGCAATTTCGATGAGTTATTGACACAATTAGCTTAACAGCACGCACTTAGAATACATCCTGAGCAGAAAAAATATACATATATAATAAATTAATTGCTGTAAGAAACGTTTTTTACAATATATCTAGCTTAATGTTCTACATCGCAAGCACTGCCATTGAAATAAACGTGCATCTAAAACAAAGTGCATATGCCGTTCACAGTCATCCTCGTGCCGATCCTACACTGGAACGCGGCGAAGAATTCGGGCATGCTTCTTACGGCCACGTTGCAAGCATGCCTCGAGCTGAGCCTCGACCAGGCGTCGGCCTTGTGAGTGGGTGACTCGGCGCACAAGGTGAGACATGCCCTGCGGAAGAACGTCCTCAGCAACGCCGGCTTTTCGGGCTCTCGGTAAGCCGAGGCTGCCCACGAGCGGTACGCCTCCAGGGTCGACCGGAGACCCAGGGCGTAGATGACGGCATCAGGAATGTCTTCAGGTGACACGGGCGTCTCCCTGTTCGCAGCTGACAGGCACCGGCTGTGGCCAGGAGCGTGGCTATGGCACGCTCTTCTTCGTCGGTATGCGCCTTGGGCTGCGAGGAAGGCGTGGAGTACGCGGGTGGCCATGAGAAAGCCCATGGAGGCGTAATTGAAGTACCTGTCGGCATTCGGGTATTCCATCGGCGGTAGCAAGAGCCAAGGGGACATGCACATCTCGTTGCCCACGTCGGCGAGCGACGAATCCTTGCCGACGCAGGTGTCCAGAAATTCTTCGGGCACCAGGAAGCGGGCCTTCCAGAGGCTCTCCTGATTGGACGAGGAAAGAGGGAGTGTTTTCAGTGACTATGTCGAGATACATATATGATAAACGTACCGGGGAATGCACGATCTTGAAGGGAAAAAAAGTCCTTGTGACATGGGGTGCCGTTGGAGCCAAGGTTTGAACAAGCAGAATCGTTTTCTTCGAAGCTACAGATTGGACATGCAGCCTTGGAGAAGACATGTCGGCTTGTCAAAACGTTGGCTCCAAGGTCTTTCATGCTTTGCAGATTTTTCATTTGTGCGCGGAGAAAGCTCAGCCAGGAGAGCGAATGAGAACAATCTTTAGATTTCAAGAAAACTGACCTCTTCATCTTATGTAGTACATGCAAGATATAGCACATGAAATCACTGCACAGTCCGCATGAACTGGTATGACACATTTTTAGCGCAAAACAAGCCATGGACTAGTGAACTTATGTTGTGACATATAAGTTGAAGGGCTTACGCACTACGCAAAGCAGGTGTGATCTTTGCACCTAAGTATAGGCTGATATAATTATGCTTAATAACTATTGATAACAACTCTGCTTTAGAGCATATCTTAGGCGCCAATAATAATAAGGCGTGTGACTACTCCGCGTTAAACTATTTGCAGCACACCTTTCGGTCAAAGCGTTAAGTCTTGGCGGAGTAACATGTGGTGCACCAGACAGTTCTCGTCCGGCACCGCGCAAGCGCTGTTCCATTCACTACAATGTACTTATTATAGTCAGTGCTTCCTTATAGGTAATTTTATGGCTAGGTGACGTGAGCCACAGCCCGATCAAAAGTGTTCAGTCTGAACCGTTTATGCATTTATAGACGTGGCGCACCGGTCAAGGTTGTTTCGTCGCTCTCAACAAAATAAAAAAACGGCATATTTACGGGATGAATGATGATGAGTGGTTGAAACTTCGGAAGTTTTATTATTACCCGTCAATCTTCCGAGAATTTCGCCACGTCAATCATTATGTAAAAATGGCAAGCACACGCTGCAGTCATTTTCCAAGCCCTCTGCTCCACCACCTTGTTTGTCTTTGTCGCTCATACTCGAAGCACACAGACTGCCGGCGAAAGAGGAAGTGCGCCATGAGCGAGTGCATTTTAACGCAAAAGCGAGCGCGGTCTCTTATTACACGAGAGCACGCAGCTTACGCCGCAGTGCTATCTCGTATTGATTTCATCACCTATGCCGTGCGAGCTCCATCTAGTAGTCTCTCATCAGAACAATAGCTCCTACGCATTGTCATGCATGGCAGCGCAGCGCCATCTTGTGAACACTCCGAGAACTAGTGGTGGCTACGAGAACGCTGGACTTGCTTACGCCTTAAAAAGCTTCGTGCCTAAAAAAAGCTGGCCCGTAGATCTTCGTCCCCGGTGCAACGTGCTTCGTCGTGGCACGCCCTTGCGTTAACTTCACCGCTAAAGTGGTCGCGTGTATTTTTTCCCGCACTTTCATTGTAAAAGAATTGACAGCGCAACGGATTGGAAGCATACAAGAAGAAGCAAATGACACTTTCTGTTAGTGTCTAACTCGTTGCAACATCAACTGTTTTACGATGAAACTCCACAAAGTTGCCAAGCACGC